ATAGAAGAGTATCATATAAATGCGAGCACATATTTGAACACTTTCCCCCCTGCAAATGAGCATTTTCATGTTTCTGACAAGCTTGGTATTGTAAAGGAAAGCTGCTTCCCCTTTAGGATAGGAAACTTACCATTTCTGAAACAACTTACCTGCCTTTAAAGAAGGCAATGTAGATGGGAGAGGAGTAAAAGTTGATAAACTCAAAGATGAACACCTTAAAGGTGAATGCATCTTCAAACATGGTCTGGGTGCGATGCATCTCTGTGGCACAGAATTGTAAAAAACAGGTGCCGTTAGAATAGTGACCAGCTTCCAAGTCTACCCAGTGATGGCTATGACAAAAATATGTTCAACAAGCTTATCTGAATAAAATTTATGGAATACTCAAACTTCCCCCAACATTACTACTAAATCCTCAAGGCTCTCTATGTCACCAAATTCTCATGTATATTATGGGTTATGAGGTAGAAAAGAAGACCAGAACTGAATTAAGTCCTGGTCATAAAGTCTTTGCACATAGATGGCTAACAGGTTCCACCTCAACATTGTACAGTATACCATTCCATACCTGTTCCCAATGTCTGTATGTGAATGATGTCAGTAAGGGGGTGGGGAGGCTACACATGGGCAGAATGGACTTACCCCATTTGGTGAGAAAATGTGCCAGAGCAATATATATTTTGGAGAGGATGAGGATGAAGATAAGATTCACTACGGAGCCTGTGAGACTGGCAATACGAGAAGCCTGAGAGAGGCAAAGAAGAACACAATGAAGTCCAAATGCAATAATAAGATAGAGCAAGGACGGGAAAGGAGCATCCAAGGTGCTTACCGAAGCCACAACGAGGAAGTTTCCAGACCTGGATACAACTACAGCAATGATGGCCCGATAAAGGATAATGGAAATCAAGAACATCACCACCACGGCAATCTGTGTAAAGAATCAGGCAGAATACATGACAACGACAACAACTACCTTTCAAAGTGAGACATCAGTGCAGTTTATGAAAATGTACTATTCTGCTAAGGCATTGTGTGGCTCTCCTAAGAGCCCACACCAAGTGCCAAATGCATCATTCTGAGAGTTACTTGTTCTGGGAAAGATACTGTTGGCATGGAAGCTGTGAAGGCTGTCTATGTGTACCAAAATTAAGATGTCCCAGAGGGAGGTTTCTGTGGCTTGGCAATAGGGGTGCAGATGGAGGGCAAAAGGAGAAAGAGGAGGATGAGGTGGTGGTGGTGGTAAAGGACATGCACTGTCACTCTAGCTGGTAGAACACTTTGCACCAGCCCTAAGGAGATGCTCCTTGCAGAAGTATAGTATTATTGTTCTCTTCTAGACAACTTCCAGAGAGGACACTGAGACTGCACAAAATAGAATGGTGACAAGTGAGATTTAGTGAAAATATGTATCAGGTACAACTTGTAAGTAGAAAACAGTAGTAAAGGAAGGCCTAGGTCTTTTTCTTCAGTTTAAGTGCTGATACCTGTACCAAACTAACAGTGGCTTTTCCCACAAAACATTTATGGGATAAATTTTGCATGCAACTGAACATAATATCTAGTTTGGCTCTCCATCAGGCAGGTGCTGTCTCCCATATTACAAAAGAAGAGTTGAGACAGAGCAACAGCAGTTTATCTAAGAGCCAACAAGTAAGTACGTAGATGAAATAAGATTTTGGATGGAGATCTCTCACCTTGTATCCACAATGACTAAGTAAATTGCAGTCCAAAATCAGAAGTGTGTAGATATGTGATTTGGACTTACTACTGCCTGAGGAATTCTCAGGCACAAATCTCCACACCCTCCACACTTCTAGTTCAAACTATGGGAAACTAAGCTGTATATGACACTCTTAGCTCCAAAACATCAGCTCCCTCACCATCATGATGATGATCATTGATCCAGCAAAAATTCTTTTGCAACGATTTCGCATAGGGAAATAGGGTTCCTCCTCTCCAGTAATTGGATTTTGAGTTGTCATGGGAGCCATGGCTGTAAATTGGGGGCGTGGACGCTCCTAAAACAGAGAAAAGCAGTAGTAATAATCTAGGACAGCCAAAAACAAAGTACTTCATAGAGCAAATAGAGAAAATACTAAATTTGCTACCGTAAGATGGCTAGTGTGGTGTGGTGGTTAAAGTGTATGACTAGGGCTCAGGAAACTAACTGGATGACCTTAGACCAATTTCAGTCTTGCAACTTGACCTACCTGCAGGGTTGTTATAAAGATATACTGGGAAGGAGGAAAGCCTGCATGCACCTTGATTTAACTGAAAGGTAGGCTATCGGTGTAACACATACATTAATAATAACACACAGTGATTATCGGTGATGGCTCCCACAACTTGGATGGCTTTGAACAGTTTAGACAAAATTCATGGAGGACAAGACTATAATTGGCTGCCAGTCATGGTGAGTATATATTTCCTACAGTCTAGAGGCCCATCATACCAACAGCTGTGGAAGACAAACTGGGTATGGTATTGTACTCATGTTTGTGAACGTTCAAGAAGCATCTTGTTGAACACAGTGGGAATGAAATTCTGGATTAGATAGTTTTTTCCACTAGCATGGCTCTTCTTAAGTACTAACTTTCTTTTTAGGGCTTTAGTTACACTAGAGTGCACCTCCAAGACAGTACCTCAATATCTTCAAAGTCGTAACAGTCCCAGCGGTATGTCAGAGTAGCATTTTTTCGCTTCCAATACTCTAGGAATGTGACTGACCACAGAGCCATGAAGATGCTGAAGAACACTGTCCCACCATGGTCAAAGAGACGACCAACCTGAAAAAGAGAGACAGCGTGTGCAGTTGAACATGTCCCAAGCCCTCCCTCCCATGCCACATACTGTACATAGGATGCGACAGAAGGGCAATATATGTAGGATCAGGAAACCATTGCTACACACCTGCCTCTTCAAATGCAAATGTGAATCAACCAAAAGGAAAGTGTATTTAGTAGGTATACAGTTTAAACCTCTGGGTCTTTTCTCACTTTAAAATAATACTCATTTACCATGTGAGCATTTAAGAGAAGTTTACATCTGCAGGCATGGGACTATAGTTGTTGTCTATAATTTTGCCCCAACAGCTACAGAGTTAGCTCCATTATGCACTAAAAACAACCCCCAAATTGCAAAAGTTATGTTATGTGAATATTGACATATTTGTTTAATGTTGGTGAAACATGTTGTTACTAACACATGGACAAAGGCTGAAACAAATTATTTTGTACAGTATATGATTGTTGCTGTCACATGATGTGAATTTTAGGTGATTTACTCCATCCCAGCACAAATACATACATAACAGCACTTCACTAAAATAAAGCATCTGGCCCACACAAATTAAACCACCCTCTCCATGTTGGCAATAGCACATGCAACAGCTCACATCTGTGCAACATGGAGTTGACAGGTGAATGAAGAATACTGCCATCTGTGTCACAAAAAAGAGATCCTACAAATGTTTTTTCTGCTGTGGAGAAGGATTAGAAGAGTACTTGAATGGACTGCAGTTTCTACTAGATCCACTAGGCTAGTGGTTCCCAACCTTAGGTAACCCAGGTATTCTTGGACTGTGATTCCCAGAATCCCCCAGCCAGCACAGATGGTGGTGAAAATACCCTTAAGAGAGGGTATACACAAGTTTCTTCAGCAAATATCTGTTAATTGGAACAAATGGGAGATTCAGAGTATGATCACTCGGAAAGACATGTGTCCAGTTAAAGTGACCCTCTTGTCTGTCAGAGATTTGCTCCAGCCCAGCCCCCACCCCCAAAGTAGTAGATCTACAGCTGTATTAAAAAAAATCCAGCCAAAAATCAGGGTTGGGCTGGAGTGCAATTCCCTGCGTGTTAAGTGATTGCCAAGAAATAGATTGCACGAGTGGCCCAAAATGCAATCTATTTCCCTGTGTGATCACATCTTTAGTCTACACCAGTGGTTCCCAATCTTGGGTACCCCCAGATGTTCTTGGACAGCTGTGCTGGCCAGGATTTTTGGGAAATGCAGTCCAAGAACACCTAAGTTACCAAAGGTTGGAAACCATTCGTGTACACAAAGATACTGTTTTATCCCCTGTAGAAAATGAACATATAGCAAGCAGTGTGTCATTTTCTGCATGTCATTTCACACTGAGCATCCATTGGGAGCATAATATGTCTGTCTATGAAGTGTACCTGAAACATTGGACAGATAGTGGAAAGGTTCCAGTAAGGGCAGACCTTGCAGAGTGGACACATCTGGTATTTACCACCACTGTTACAGATCTCCTGTCTGGAGTTTATAAAAGAAGCAGAAACTGAAGTAAGGATAATAACATAATTAACACACTATATTAACATGCTTAATTAGTTGCGTTCTAAACCATTGCACATTTTGTTCCTAATGTTACTTTTCTCATTCTTGCAAGAATTGATATGATTGTATTAGCTTCACTTAAATGCACAGGCATTTGATGGGTAACAAAGCAATGATTTATAACCTTCATGATTTTGAGCAACAAATACCTAATAAACTCTGTGAATCTAGACATCAGAAATCGAAACACAGTGTTTCATATCTATCGATTAGGATCTTGATTCAAGAAGTCTGTATAATGGTCATGCAAAAATCAAGACGTACGATGCCATACAACTTCGCCATAGACCTTCTGTACAGTAACAGAGAAAGAAGAGGCAAGGAAAAAGCTGACACTTACGTGGGGATGTCATCAAACATCATAAAGATGCCTATTATGAAAACTAGTGTCCCAACTACAGCCGCTGGAAAAAGCCACCCGGTATAGAAACCTGAAGATAGAAGAAAATACTATAATAAAATGCAACTGGAGAGCCACACAGAACTTGAAAACTTTCCTTTTCTAAATTACAACTCACGTACACACAAAATTTGGGAAATACTGACTTTTAAAAAAATCTCTACAATTCTCTACATGTCAGTGTAGTCAATGTAGGTCCCAAAATGGATCTTTGTGTCTATTTGTAAAACATGCACATAAATTTTCATTGATCAAAAAGGCTCTACCAGCAGAGTAAACAGGATGAGTGTTCAAGGATAATTTCTTCCACTGAGCAAAAAGAAGCAAAATGTCACTGTTTTGCCACTTGAGAAAAAAAATCTTCTAAAAAAAGATGTTGTGTATCATGTAGTTGGACACTCAGTATCTAACTATACATTATCAAAAATGTTTCATCTGAAGAAGCAATTCCTGAAGTGCTGAAAGCTGCTGACTGTAAGAACAAAACCCTTACGTTCGCAAATTAGCTTGCTTTGTTTTGTAATTTGTCTTCTGTATATAAACACAATGTTTGTTTACTAGTCTGATATCTGAGAAACTAAACTCTGCTGGAATCATGTGTCTGGAACGCTAATGTGTTTTAGCTAGAATGGTATAGTATCAGTCACATATTAATTGGCTTTCAGAGTTCAAGATAGCTAGGGAATAACACTTACCAAGCCAGGCAAAGTAGAGAGCGATCTTCTCCCCAAAGTACCTGCGGATGTGATCCAAAGGCTGATACTTTTTCCACTTACTCCACTGGGCCCAGTAGTGGAAAAGAATCTGCCTCTGAGTTAGCTGAGGGGGGTTCAGTTCTTCTGATGGCATCTTGTAGGGTCCCTTTTGGCAGAGAGTGAAAATATCCCCATCAAGTACAAACTGGTTAATAGATGCTATATTTTACATTAACATATGATGTAAAATTCCTTTTCAGGACTTGTGTCTTTTAAAATATAATTTCTCATTGTTAAGTATAAAATGTAGTAATTAATCTTAGATTAAGATAATTAGGCCTAATCCAATTATTCATGAAAAAACAATTAAAATATATAGTCATGAATTACTTTCTTGTCCTTAAAAGCTACAACAGGGTGCTTAAAAATAAGAATATTCACTCTTCCACCTAGGCTAAAATCCAGCAGTAAGGCACAATTAGAGTAGGTCCATTATGGAGGAGCTGACTTACCAAATCCCCATTGATTTAATGAGTCCTACTCAAGTTAGGCTTATTATTGGATTTTGGCAACTATCTTGCAGAAAGGTCAAGGTGCTGAGACTTTTCTGTTATTAGGGATGATGATGATGGCATGGTGGGGGAAAAATGGAACAGGACGGATGCTTTCCAGCTTACATCATGCAGTGGGAATGCTGCTGTGAAGACTTCCTCACTCAGTAGTCTTTCTATTCCAACCTGCCCTGTGTTTGGGTTCCCATATGGTGTGGTGGCCAGGATCTCATACAGCTGAAGGAAGCAGAAATGAGAGAAAGCTGTACTTTAATTTTCACACTTGGCAATTATCAGGCACATTGAGTGGTGCCTCGCTTAATGAGGATAATTCATTCTGCTGAAATCGCTGTTAAGTGAAATCCTTGTCAAGCTAAACGAAAAAGCCCATTGCATTCCAATGGGCTAAATACCTCAGCGTACAGCGAAGATCCTCCATAGGGGCGGCCATTTTCAGTGCCTGTAAAGTGAGGAATCCATCCTAAAACAGCGGGGAGCCATTTTACACAGCGGCCGGCCATTTTAGAGCCGCTGATCAGCTGTTTAAAAATCATCATCTAGCGAAAAATCAGTTCCGGAAGCAGGGAACCGATCATTGTCAAGCGAAATTTCCCTATCTAAACATCTAAAGCGATCACAAAAACTTCATCGTCAAGCAGTTTCATAGTTTAATGAGGTAATCGTTAAGCGAGGCACCACTGTATCTGAGTCTGACACCTACAATAAGCATGCATAACTCTTAACATTTTGCTTCTGGCAATGGAACATTCCCCCCAGTTACTAGCTATGTAATCATAGTTTGTAAGCAAATTACATAGTCTGCTCTGGGGGTTATACATGGTTATGAAATTGGGAAAGGCATCTCAAGATCCATGGAACTATGAAACATTAAGGGTGCAAAGAGAAAGGCTTGGAAGAGAAAGAGCAGCAAAAAGGCACCTTAGTGGAATTTTTTTTAAAAAAAGACAGAATGCAAATCTTAGCTTTTCTGAATTATCCATCCTTTACTTTTCTGTCAACAGCAGGCAAAAAGGCACCTTAGTGGAATTTTTTTTTTAAAAAAAAGACAGAATGCAAAAATGAAGGAAAATGTTTGATAAAAATTAGATATAGAAGGATGTGAAAGAGACAGAATGAAGAAGGCAATGTTAGATAGTTTATGAAGGACTACTATTTATAAGGTTATCACGACCAACAGTACATTTAATTGACCCCGACTTATTTACTGTCCCATCATCCTACGTATGTGTCCTACCTCCTTTCACTTTGCATTACACCTCATGATCTGATAAAGTGACCCCAACATGTCAGCTTTCCCCCCCCCCTAGTCTAATGGTATGGGCCACACGGAGAAATTCCAGTATCTATTCATTGTAAGCTCAACAGCTCGTGCTAATGAGCCAGAGAGCAGGGTCCTCAATGCTGATTTTAGAGCTTAAGCAGAAACATATATCTAGCAATGCACCCTTCCTTCTGTGCCTCAGAATCAGGAAACCCTGATCAATTGTAATTGCTTAAAATGTTTGTAGAAATTTCATCCCCCCCATTGCACCCTTCAGTCTCAAATCTTAGCTTTTCTGAATTCTCCATCCTTTACTTTTCTGTCAACAGCACCATAAGGTAGGGCGATCAGACCTTGGGAGTAACTGGTTAAATAATGTCATTACTTGTAGTCAGTTAATTTTTGCATAACAAGCACTGTAACAAGTAGTCACAAAGTTACAACAAAAATGAGATAACAAATACAATTATTGATATAGAATAAGTAGAATTACAGTTACCTTTTAGTTATAAAAAACAATATTTTATGTTTACTTTCAAAAGTTACTTTTAAAAGGCATTAAGCCATATGTAGAGAGACATTTTGCTACTATGCCATTCTCTTATCAGTCTTAAGTGTGAGACAAATATTCTTTGGTTGGCACTTGTATTTTTGTAAATAGTTTGCATGGTACAATATCAGAATTTCACATTAGAGAGAACCAGAGCATATACTTACTTACTTACTTACTTACTTACTTACTTACTTACTTACTTACTTACTTACTTACTTACTTACTTACTTACTTACTTACTTACTTACTTACTTACTTACTTACTTACTTACTTACTTACTTACTTACTTACTTACTTACTTACTTACTTACTTACTTACTTACTTACTTACTTACTTACTTACTTACTTACTTACTTACTTACTTACTTACTTACTTACTTACTTACTTACTTACTTACTTACTTACTTACTTACTTACTTACTTACTTACTTACTTACTTACTTACTTACTTACTTACTTACTTACTTACTTACTTACTTACTTACTTACTTACTTACTTACTTACTTACTTACTTACTTACTTACTTACTTACTTACTTACTTACTTACTTACTTACTTACTTACTTACTTACTTACTTACTTACTTACTTACTTACTTACTTACTTACTTACTTACTTACTTACTTACTTACTTACTTACTTACTTACTTACTTACTTACTTACTTACTTACTTACTTACTTACTTACTTACTTACTTACTTACTTACTTACTTACTTACTTACTTACTTACTTACTTACTTACTTACTTACTGCTGGTAAGGATAATGGCCATTATCCTATTGCTAATCCCACACTCTTGTGTCACACACTGTTGTATTTCTGATCACAATACATGGGTGTGAAAGTTAGACAGTTAAGAAAGCTGACAAGAAAAAAAATTATATCTTTGAAATTGAGTGATGGAGGAGTGCTTTGAGGATACCTTAGATCAGTGGTTCTTAACCTTTGTTACTTGGATGTTTTTGAACTGCAACTCCCAGAAACCCCAGCCAGCACAGTTGGTGGTGAAGGCTTCTGGGAGTTGCAGTCCAAAACTCCTGAGTAACCCAAGGTTAAGAACCAGTGCCTTAGATGACCAGAAAAATAAACAAGTGGATTCTAGATCAAATCAAGCCTAACGTATCTCTGGAAGGAAACGTGTTGAAACTGAGGGAGTCCTACTTTGAGCACATCATGAGAAAGCAGGATTCGCTGGAAAAGACAACAATGCTGAGGAAGGTGGAAGGCAGCAGGAAAGGAGAAAAACCTAACAGAAGATGGACTGATTCCCTAAAGGAAGCCACAGGCTTGAGTCTACAAGAGCTGAGTGGGGCTGTTGAGGACAGGACCTTTTGGAGATTGCTCATTCATAGGGTTGCCATAAGTTGGAGGTGACTGAACAGTACAGTCCCAACTAGAGTAAATTGTCATAATAATAAGTTGATTATGTACATCCCATTGATATAATGGGTCTACTCTACTCAGCACTAGCGATAGGATACTGAGTAATGTAATGCATAAGACAATGGATAACTTGTATGATCCTATGATGACATTCATGGAGCCCTAAGGTCTTAGGAAAAACTACGTTCATAATTGAAGCAGCAGGCAGGCCCTGTTGGCCAAGTCTCACAACATATTGCAGGCTGAGGGACATCTGACTCTCCAATTTGATGTTAGTGGTGGTGTGTGGTATGGTACTTATTTCCTATAGACCAGAAGTGAGCAAAGTGTCCCCATCAGCCCTATGCAGCATAGGCTGTGGTGAGGTATGATGGGAGCTTTAGCCCCACTTCAGGAGGGCCACATGTTTCCAATGCCAAGCATATTATTTCCAGGCCTCTATTTGCATCTGCCTGAATTTCAGACTTACTATTCTGTGTCGTTGTGTGCTGCTGAAGAAGGTTTCATGGCGATCACTCCCAAGAAACCTGGGAAGAAGAAGAAAAAAACACTCCTGAGATCACAATGAATATTTTATTCATTCAAAATATTTTTGCCCCACCTTTCTCCTTAAAAGGGACCCAAGGCAGCTTACATCATTAAAAAACTATATTTAATGCTAAAATCAATGAGTATACAAATCTGAAACCGAGAGCTCATAACAAGGACTAGAGATCCACACCAAGGCCTAGTTTTCTTATGGCTACATTCAGGTGCTATTCCCATATCCATCCTTGTTATGGATCTAGGCTAGGACTCTTTGGCACAGCCAGAGGCAGCTCCTCTGATCTCAAGAGATCCAACCTGGGATACACAAACCCTACCAGGAGAATTCCAGAGCTTGGAAGTAGAGATGGGCAGTTGTATCTCAGGGATACAAATGTGAACCGCAGCACCACAGGTGATGTAAGGGCTCAATTCCCTCCCCTCAGAACCAGCTGGCCTGCTTACTGGGCTCCATGTGGCACTACAATCCTCCTTTGGTGGCAGTGCACCAATCCTGACAGGAGCACAGCTGGGACCTGCCCAGCCGACCACTTTGACTGACCACTTTGGTGCAGTGGCAGGACAGGGAGTCTCCCTGCTCAGTCGATGAATGGTCAACTGTGTGGGAGGTGGGGGCAGGGCCGGCCAAACTTCTGCCTGGATTGGTGTGCCCACCACCAAAGCGGGACTGCAGTGCCATGCAGAGCCTGGTGAGTGGGCCAGCTGGTTCTGGGAGAGGAAATTGGGCCCTCACAAACTACAAGTTTGTACTTGTATCCCTGAGATGCGACTACGCAGTGCCCATCTCTACTTGGCAGGAAGATCTGGTGAGGCAGCTGCCTAAGGGTACTGATTACTAGTTATTAATCTTGCTTTTATTATACTCTTGGAGGGAGGAGGAGAGGAACTTGTGAGATTTTCTGTCTCAAGTGCCGAAGTAGATTAGCTGGCTATGGACAGTATGCACCTTTACTTGTATGGATAGAGGCACATTTGCTATTCTGACCACACAGCCAAATGTCTTGGGCCCCTCTTACTAGTTATGGTTCTTGATTAATCCATAGTATAAAACAATAACACATGCTGCTACCAGAAAAGAAAACCTCATTTGGATTGTACTAAGGGGAGAATATATAAATTGTGGATATTTTTGGAATGCAATATGGCATTCTTACCCCTTTCTATAATGCTACTAATGCTTGGGAAACGTAGAGCTCATAACCAGTTAAACAAAAAGGCAGATCAGTAAGAGACAGTCATTTTCTTTCTTGTGTTTTTTTAACATTGCTGGGTTGGAGGCTTGACATCTTTCATGGCTTGAGCTGTCTTCTGAGAAAAGAGACAACAATGCTCCTGCAAGCTGTGAAATATTTAGTATTGCCCATCAAATCTTCATGAAGTAGGACGAAGATAATGGATACTGCTGGGCTTTGCATGTGCACCTGCCAGATTAATCCAATGTTGTGGGAGGACAGACCAAAGGACAAGAACTAACCCTGAATTCTTACCAGGGCAACTTGTTTGCCTTGAAGTGGCAGGTGTAGTAGTCCACCGGAAGGTCAGGGACATCATCATGTAGCAGATTAGGGATGCCCAATTTCATCAGAATCCTGTGAGACCAATTTGTTACAGCCTGATTGGGCACCACCTGTGGATACATTCACAGAGAATTATGCCAGGTAGGAGATGAGTACCAGTCAGTAGTTTGCATCCAAGTAAGGCTACAAAGGCAAAGAACAGACATAAGGACAAAAGGGGACAAAACACAGGGATCTGTTAGAGCCAAGAAGAGAAGAATAGATGCAGTAAGACAGTCCTTGCCATGATTCTCAGGGCATGCAAACACGCCAGCTTGGTGCATGCTTGAGAATTGCAGTGGAGACTCTTTATTTTCCAGCTAGGAACAGATTGAATGTTACCCATTATGTTCCACTAAACAACAGTATTTTAGCCAATATGTGCAAGAATCACCCTCACAAGAAAATTAGAAAACTACTTTAGCCTGATATAAACATTAAGGACCTAATTAGAAAGGTAGTGAGCTAGCTGGCGAGAGTGCAAAAATCTTACCAACAGCATAAAGTGATGAATCTCCAAATAATGAGTTCCCTGAACTGAGGAACTTTATACCCTGTTGTATAGAGTCTCAGATGACCTTCTTTAATAATAGCAACTGTGTGCCACCAACTTAATTCCGAATTATGGTGATCTGTTTCAGGGCTTCTAGAGTACTCAGAAGGGTTTGCTATTCCCTTCTTCTGGATGAGTTTTAGGGCCAACCTTGCCCAAGGCTACCAGTCAACTACCTTCTTTAGCCAATCAAATCAAGTCTTCTTCCAAATCTTCTAAAAGATATGATTTTTTTTGGTCATGTCTCAGTAATTAAGGTGCAGCTGGAGCAATTAGCAGCTTCATTTTGACATGAAACTCCAGCCTTGAATTTCTGCTTATCTCTGTCCAGTTCAGATGCTACATTATCTATAATTTCCCCCTAGTCTTTCAGCTGACTCTCCCACCAGTTTCTGATACCAGTATAGAATCTGCTTGGTTCTTTTGGCCTAGGCTCCATTAATCAATAACTCTGTTGGTGTTATTTAGGGCTTTTCTCTTTATTTCTTCATAACCTTCCCCGAAAATATCATGCCTTGTTGTTCTCTCAGACAAACGTCCCACAGAATCTTCAGAAGCATCTAGCACCAAGAAGTGTTCCTGAAGTTTCAGGGAAGTGCATTTAGCACCTAGAAATGTTCCTGGTAGTAGAAGGAAACACACAGGTAATGGTACTGGGGCTTAAATAGCCATCTAATCCCTTGTCTAAAGCCCAGCAGAAGAAATTAAGAAGAGAGAAAGAGAGATAAGAAAGATTTGCCTTCCTGCCTGAGTATGGAAACACTAGGTTGCTTAGACCCCTGGCTTGTATAGGAATTGGTCATGCTATGTGTGAGAGACATTTTAAGAGCTGTAGTCCAAAAGGTAACCTTTCCAAATTCTGCTTCCATTTTCTGCATTACTCTATCCCACTTTGCCCCCCCCCCGGTCCATTGTGGAGTTTGGATTTCAGCTCCCCTTAATGCCAACAGTTAGGGATTATGGAAGTTCTGTTTCAAAATAACTGGAGGCCCAAAGATTTCCCATAATTTAATGTGTCTCTTTTTTATTTAAAAATGACAGCTGGGTGAGACATGAGGTAAATGTAGACATGGAAAGGGGTGAATTAACCCTCCCTTTAATTTTGTCATCCCCATGATTATTTAACTCCATGTTGTGTAGCGTCTTTCGAAAGCCAGGCCTACACAAACAGAAGATTAGATGGTAAATCCATTCATGAACTATGCCACTTGAGATGGCTGGCAAGAGGCCATCAGATTAATCCCTCCCCCCCCCACACAACACATACTGGAAAGTGAGAGAAGAGGAGAGCATTGCACGTGAAAAGGTATATGTTTCAGAATGTTTTGCCTACCGTTCTCCAAAACTTGCCCATTTTCTATGTGGAGCCTTTTTTCTTTTTTTAAAATGTATTTTAATTAATTAATTCAATAATTAAACCTAAAGGGTGCCCACACTACCCAAAGGTCTTTTTGGTAGTATACTGCTTCAATAGGCAGTTTATCCACCCCACAGCCACTAAAATGTGATGCCATGGTGTCCAGGAACAAATTTACCACCATCACTAGCAGCTGCTTGTTTACACAAACCCCAGTATACCGGCTAGGATAAGAACCCAGCTGGGCCTCATGGCATCATGGCCACATAACGTGCTTACCTGCAAGGGAACCCTCAGCCTGAGATCTTCAGCATAATAACAGAGTACACTCCAGGGTGCGCTCAGGAGTATGAAATGCACCAGCTTCTTTGCATTTTGGGCTATGTGCTAGAAAAGGAAGGAGATGAAAATTGGGAAGATCAGTTTGCTGCATGGAATATCTATGCTGTTATCTCCCCTTGCAGAAATGGAGTGATGCATGAGGCAATAATTATCTTTTTTTTCTCCTTAGTCTTTCCTCAGCCAGGATTTAATAAAAAGAAGTCCAGTTGGGAAAACCAGTCTGGAGTGTATGTGTTCCGGTAAACTACTTTAAATGCTGTGACTCAAAATATGGAATAAAATATTTTCAAGAAATTTACTACACAAAATGCAGGCTTAGTTCCTTGTATTTACAGAAGTAATAAGTTATACTACTCAGAGGGGGTACAATTCTATTAATATGTCATCAAAAACCTCCGCAATTTTAAGCAGTGGGATTTCAAAATATTTTAAGCAGAGCAGAAGCAACATATAGTAGCTCTCTATTTTTGTCTGCTGGAAAATAGCAGGACCAGAAATATAATACAAAGAAAAGTAAAGCAAAAAGTCCAGTCTCTCAGACCCTGAAACAAAACCAGTGACATTAGAGAATTGGCTACCTTCTCCATTTTGAGTCCTGTCATCTGGAGTTTATTCAGAAATTTCTCACGCCACACTTTGTGCGCTTTAGTTGATCGCCTTTGTTTGGATTTTGGAGTCTCATCTTCTTCGTTTTGACCCTCCAAACTGTGGTAATCAGATTCCCATGCAAGGATAAAGTCTGAGATAAAGCACACATGCATACTATGGATACTGTATAATATTGGCAATGTTTTCAGCACTACATAAAAGACAACAGTGATAAACTGTCAGCTGCTACAAGAGCATAAGAATAGGTAATATAAATTAGCAAAGGGGAAGTCAAAGACAACAAGGAGCTGTAGGAAAGGTTTAAAATAGACCAGGGATATTCTCTGTTTTACTTCTTCCTATGGCATAAGACACCTGGGAGGGATCTACAAAAGGAAAGGTAAAAGGGGAAACAGAAGAAAGGTAACTGAGTCACAGCTTCTCAAAATACATTGCATTCCAACAAAGCTTGAAAATAAAATTTTTGTTGTTGTTTAGTCATTAAGTCGTGTCTGACTCTTTGTGACCCCATGGACCAGAGCACGCCAGGCCCTCCTGTCTTCCACTGCCTCCTGGAGTATGGTCAAATTCATGTTGGTAGCTTTGATGACCCTGTCCACCCATTTCATCCTCTGTCGTCCCCTTCTCCTCTTGCCCTCATACTTTCCCAACAACAGGGTCCTTTCCAGGGAGTCTTCTCTTCTCATGAGATGCCCAAAGTTTTGGAGCCTCAGCTTCAGCATCTGTCCTTCCAGTGAGCACTTAGGGTTGATTTCCTTCAAAATGGATTGGTTTGTTCTCCTTGCAGTCCAGGGACTCTCCTCCAGCACCACAATTCAAAAGCATCAATTCTTCCACGGTCAGCCTTCTTTATGGGCCAGTTCTCACTTCCATACATCACGACAGGAAAAACCATAGCTTTGACTATGCAGACTTTTGTTGGCAAGGTGATGTCTCTGCTTTTTAAGATTCTGTCTAGGTTTGTCAGAAAATAAAATACTACAAATAATTATGTTATATGCAACACATTGCATTTTACTTATTCTTTTCCATTTTTACACCATTAGTGTTGCCATTCTCTGGGTGAGGCTCACAGCATACAATAAAAACATAGTTTTTTAAAGGCATCTTTCAGTCTTGAGAGACTGTGGTAATGTGCTCTGAATAGAGGACTTGGATCAGTGTCTAGTGTGGCTGAGAAGGCCAATTTGAGAGTGACAATTCCTTCCACACTGAAGACAAATATAACCTGTCCTCTGTCCAGCTCCCTGATTTTGCTGGTTTCAGGACTGCCTCTTTGCCTTGGCCTGCTGGACAAGTGCCTCTTCAAAATGGGAGAGTCCATGATACACCGCCTGCCTCCAGGCTGAATGCTCAGATGTCAAGGTTTCCCATCTTTTGAGGTCTATTTCTAAGGCCTTCAGATCCCACTTGCAGATATCTTTGTATCACAGCTGTGGTCTCCCTCTGGGGGACTTTCCTTGCACTAATTCTACTTACAGGAGATCTTTTGGAATCCGACCATCAGCCATTCTCACAACATGCCCAAGCAAACGTAGACGTCACTGTTTCAGTAATGTATGCATGCTAAAAATTCCAGCTTGTTCCAGGACGACTCTATTTGGAACTTTGTCCTGCCAAGTGATACCAAAAATGCATCGGAGACAGCACATACGGAATGTGTTCAGCTTCCTCTCCAGGACTCATTGCAGTACAGGAGTGTACTCAGAATACAGGCTGCATAGACCTGGATCTTGGTATATGTCATCAGCTTCTTATTAAGCTATACTCTCTTTGTGAGTCTAGAGAACAT